CAGTGGTCATAAATATTTGGGTTGCAAGCGTCTCCCTCACACCGGCCTAAGCCATGAAGGAAACTTGCTGGTTCAGTTAACAGAGAAGTCCAAACGTAAGTTCGGGTGAGGATTACCCCAGGGGCCGAGTGACGTCACCAAGGACACAGTTTCTGTCCTAGATGGGCCCACGCTGCTGCCGGCTGGCTGTCGCTAGGGCTGCCGGCTCCTCCTCCATGTCTAGCAGGAAGTGGAGCCGCCTGTGTCTCAACTTTCCCAGCGGGTCCTGAGATTCACCCTGATTGGATGGGCTTGGGTCACATGACCACTCCTGAGCCAATCGCTGGTGGACAAGGAGTTCATAAGCTCCACCCTTGGGGTGCAGGGGAGCTTTTGGGGGAACCAGAGGGAAGTGAGGAGAGATGGAGGGGGTTGAATCGAGGAGGGTAGACACGAACATTCATCACAATTTCACCAAGGACATGGCTGAGTTTACCCATAGCTTTGCCTGCTAGTATCTGTTTACAGATAATTATTATAATAACTCAGATGCATAAATGTCAGCAGCTACTATTTATTTAGGAATTTACTGTTCAGTCTCAAAGAAGACAGTATGTTAATTGCTTCATGAGAATTGCATTATTTAGTCCTTACACAAACCCCTGGGATCATTATCTTCCATCATCATCAACCTGTTTGTAGAGAAACCAAGGTACAGAGAAATGAGGGGCTTACCCAGAGCCACCAAGGCCGCGAGTCGTGGAGCCGTTGTGTGACCCCCCATCTGCTATTCCAGAGCGCCTGCATCTGAAGGTACCACGGAACCACTGTGTTGTACAAATTGCAGGGTAAGGATTTTCCACCAAGAAAGGGTTTGAATTTTTTTAGCAACCCTCTGGTTTTTTTTGTTTTTTTTTTTTCTTTTTCTAGAGATGTGCTCTCTAGATTCCTGGGTTCCAGGCCTATTTCTGTCATTTATCTGCCCTAAGACCTTGCATCTTTGCCTTCCCCGACCCTCCGCCACCTCACTTGTAAAACAAGAGCTTGGGCTGTGTGGTCTCTCCGGTATTTTCCACCTCAGACAGCCTGGGACTCCCCGAGTCTGAGCTGTACCTGGATGTATTTATTTATTTTTTGCTCCTGAGAGGTAGGAGGGATATCTTTCCCCCCTTGGTACATACTTCTTCTTGGGAGAGATGATTCCTTTGATACACTCTTGTTTTTACTCGAAGCGAAAGAAATATTCAAATATTTTCTTGGCTAATCTGAGAGAACATAAAAGCAGCAAACCGATCATGCCCGAGGATGGCTTTCTGGTGGGATGATGGTAAATCTGCCCGAGGTGTGTCACCTTTCAGCTGGGGACTTGGCTTTCCACCGAGCACGCTGCTGTCACTTGGGCAGACACTTTGCACGAACTCACCCACCCCACTGTGCACATGGCATGTTTGGACGCCCTGCAGAGCCCTCAGGGCCTTGCAATTCACAGCATCACGTGGACCTGCCACCCCCTGCCCTCTTTTTTTTTTTTCCCCGAGACAAAGTCTCACTCTGTTGCCCTGGCTAGAGTGACGTGGCGTCAGCCTCGCTCACAGCAACCCCAGACTCCTGGGCTCAAGCGATCCTCCTGCCTCAGCCTCCCAAGTAGCTGGGACTGCAGGCATGCGCCACCATGCCCGGCTAATTTTTTCTATATGTATTTTTAGTTGGCCAATTAATTTATTTCTATTTTTTAGTAGAGATGGGGTCTCGCTCTTGCTCAGGCTGGTCTCGAACTCCTGACCTTGAGCGATCCTCCTGCCTTGGCCTCCCAGAGTGCTGGGATTGACAGGCCCCCTGCCCTCTCGATCCCCAGAGGAGGAGAACTTTCAGCAGCTCATGATGCCTTTTGCGTGGTTTTGCCATCGTGGCCTCCTTCCCACCTCCCCGTGTCCTTAGCGCCACCCCTCTGAGGCCGGGGGCTGTCCTCCTCCAGGCATGACAGGTACCCGAGGATCTTAGTATATTGCTCTGGAAGTGCCAACTCTGTATTACTGCTAAAAATATGCCCAGTGACAGTGACTTGTGAGATTTCACTTCCTCCAGTTGTGTAGGTGTCTCTTTCACCAACCTTGAAAATAGCTTTTGTTTCCCTATATATCATCTCCCCTTCACTCTGGGGGACACCGAGTTTTCTTGCCCCTGTGTGCCCCCAGCCGTGGGGCTGGGAAGGGCTGTGCTCAGCCAGGGCCTTGGGAGGTTGAGGGTTGGGGTATGAGATGATGCTGTGGATGGTGGCTGGGGGTGGCCCTGCCCCGATGTCTGTCTGCTCAGCACACGCCACTGGGCAGCCCGGCTTGTTCCTTGGCGTCATGTGGGCCAGCCCGCAGGACAGTTGGCTGCATCTGTGTTCAGATTAATGAGCTGCTTTGTCGCCATGTGGACCTGCCAAAGGTAAGAGGACCGGCCCGAGGCAGGTGGTCACAGCCCCAGTGCAGTGACCCTATGCAAGACGGCCACGCGGGCAAAATGCCTTCCCTTCCCCAGGGTCCAGAAGCAGAAGTTCATGTGACAGTGGCTGGCCTCGATGGGGGCTGCTTGTCTGGGGGCGGTGACGGCTTTTGTGGGTGGACAGTGACCCGGTCTTCCAAGGACGGCAGAAGCCAACGCTGGGTTATGACAGGTGGCGCTGAATGTCTTCTTAGAGACAGGAGTATCTGCTAAGCCGTGTCTCCAGTGCCCTCTGTCCTGAGGGGCGGCGGCGGCGCGAGGTTGTACCCAGTCCTTGGGCCACTCCGAATCAGCTTCTTAGAGCACAGCCCGTGGACGGGGGTGCCCGGCCCACAGCGCAGAGCGGGGAGGGGGCACACCTGGGTTCTCCTGTGATGCCGCCGGTCCTCGGCCTCCCACCCGGGAGGGCAGGGCGGGGCACGGCGGTCCCTCAGGGCTTTCTGGCTCGTGCTGTGATGTGACACAGGGTTGCCAGTGCCGTCCCGCCCTGGCCCCTGCCCCGCCGGTGCTCCCGTCAGCTCCCTCCGCTCTCTAGGAGCTGCCCTCTGCCAAGCGGGAGCTGCCTTGCCTAGAAAGTTCTGCCGCCGCCTCCACCCCTGGGTGGGGGATGGTCTGTAGCCAATGCCTGATCAGTGAGGGCCAACACAAGGCCAGGCCACTTGCCTCGGGTGGAACCGACTCTGTGGGCCAGTTTGCTGCGGCCACATCCTTGCTCTACCTGCCCTGATCCTTCAGTCCCTTCCTCCTGAGCATATTTGCTCAGTAGATCCCATAATGCTCCTAGGGCATCTGGCCTAAGCTACGTGGTCACCAGGGACTAGGATCCTGTCTTCGGCACAGGAGTGTCTGGACACCTGTTAACTGGGGTGGTGGAGGGGCTGTCTCCCCTTCATCCTGGTGCTGCCAGCCCATTCTCCCTCCTTTCCCGCCCACCTTTCTCTCTCCTTCCCTCCTCTGCTGTTTTATGAGCCTGCAGCTCACCCACCTCCTCATCCGTCCCCCATCCATCCACCTGCCACCCACCTGTCCCCCTCCACTCCTCCAGACAGTACTCAGCTGACCTCCAAATCCTCCCGTGTGATAGAAAAATCAGGAATCCTTCGGGTTCTGCCCAGAGGGAGACTGCCTGGGGCCTGCCAGCTCTTCGGGGCTGGGTGACGGGAGGTGTCCTTGCTTCCGGCCGAGCAGAACACGCGTCCAGGCGGGGGCGGCCTTGAGGGCCCAGCACGATGCACTTCCCGTCCCTTCTCTCCATCGCGGGACCCTGTTTCCTAGACGCTCTCCGGTGGCCCCGGGCTCGGGCAGCAGTGGGGAAGGGAGCGCTTTTCACCTGTAAATGGTGGAGGGGAAAACGGAGGCGAGTTATCTGGCTGCTGCTCGAGCGCTTCATCGATCGCAGAGCGCCAATCAAATTAGCTGTCAGAAGAGAATGCAGATGGCACCGCGTGGAGCGGATTTTCCATGTCCCCTGATTGCGTTATTTCAATCAGCAGGTGAACGCCGCGGTGGGGCGGGGGCGTGGGCGGGGGCGCGGGCACTCGCTGTGAGAGCCAGGCCGAGGACGCGGGTTTGACATCGTCGGTATTTTAGTGTCAAGATCAAGCCTTTAGCAAAACGGGTCTGGGGTGCTTTCTGGAGCAGACACAGGGCGGGGCGAGCTTGGGGCGTGGGCCTACCCAAGCAGAGGAAGCTCCCGCTCCTTATGCTCTGGACATGTGGCAGGCCCAGGCACAAGGAGATGGGAACAGCTCTCTTCCACCTGTCGAAGGTGGACGCACTTACGTGCCCCTCCGAGTCTCAGCTCTGCTCCTTGCTAGCTGGACACCTTAGGGCTGGTCACTTACCCTCTCTGAGCCTTGGATTCCCACCTGTAAAGTGGGGCTAATAAAGGAACCTGCCTCACAGAAGGACGGTGTCCCTGTGAGGATGAAAGGAGGCAGGTGCTGAGCCCAGGGCCTGCCACGTGGTCAGAGCTTGGTAAATGTGAGCTCTTCCTTCCGAGGGCCTGGCCTTTCCTTGGGGCGCCTGGAAGTTTAGAAGGGCTCCGGGGCCAGGTTGCGGGGTGGCCAGTTCAACGGCGAGGAAAGACCCTAATGTGTGATTTCTGCTCTTCTCGGAAATTCTCCTGTGGGTGTGGGTGAATTCGGATTTGACTCTTGCTCTGATCGGCAGAGACACATGCGGGGATTGTCCCAAAGCCCCGGCGGGGTGGTGCCTGGTCCCCTGCCGGTGGCGGGCCTGGTTTGCAGCCGCTCCTCCCCTGCTCTGCACCACCGGCGTGCACGGCACGAGTGGGCTCACGTGCATGACAGCACACAGCCTGCTCAACTGCAAAACACTGCATGCAAAAAAAAAAAAAAAAAAAAAAAAAAAGGAAGTACATCATTTAGTGTTAAGGGTTTGTGAACATTCACTGACTGTCGTTGAATTGTGTCTCTCAAAAAAAAAAAAACAACTCAAAGCCCTCATTGGCTTCCCAGGCCCCACGTGGCAGGTTTTGGCTTCTCTGCAGTTAGTGGTTATTTGTGTCTCTCCCTCTGGGCGGGGGTGTTCCGTGCAGTCGAGAGCAGAGTCTGACAGGAGTTCGGATCTGGTGCTCAGCAAAAAGTCGCAGGTGCGTTGTAGGCGGGTGTTCGGCCGTCCTGTCGGCCGGCAGCTGTGGACTGTGGGGGGCACAGCTGCCTCCACGTGGGGGTGCCGCTGGCTGAAGGCAACTGATCAGTGAGCTCCAGCCGCTGAGGCCCGTGGCGGCAACTTGCGTCTGCACCGGAGCTGTTGCTTTCCCCAGATGGGGACCCCCACAAAGTTGTGGGCAGACAGAGCTGGGTGGGGGGCGGAGGAAGGCACCCAGCCTCGGCTTTGCCGCCTGGGTGAAATAACAGCTCCTTTATCAGCAGCCTGGGCCTGGGGTGGCCCCCACGACCCCCTACGCCGTGCTCCCAGCTCTGGGGTCTTCTGGGCTGTCGGTGCCGTGGCCACTTGCTCCTGTCATAGAAAGTCCTTCATCTCCCAGCCGCGCCTGAAAACTGCATCCTTCCTGGGACAAGCGCGACCTGCCCTAGAGGGAGGGAGGTGGCAGTGGGGCCCGGCTTGCCACTTAGAGAAGCGGTGTGAGCTCTTGGGGTCAGAAGGACGGCTGTCCCTGTCCTTCTGCCGGGCGGAGTGGGGAGGTGCGGGCGGGGGAGGGGACGGGGGCTGCTCAGGCCCACAGGCTCACTCCTGTGATGCGTCCTCAGGTACCGGGGTCACAGGGGTGGCCTTGGTCACCGGAGGAGGGAGGAGAGGCTCGGCCACGTCAGAGGTCCGGGATGTGACAGGCTCTCGTGACAATGCACACACATAACAAGCGAGCCCTGGCGAGTTCACAGTTCGGAGTCCTGAGCTCCTCAGAGAGAGCGCTCCGAGGAAATCGAATTAGGAAGCCAGTAATCGGATCAGCGTCTGTGCTCCGGGACTGCGCGTGGTGAAGGGCAGAGGGGGCGGCGGGGGTGGGAGCCCAGCGGCTCTGGGCCTGGCGCAGCGAGGCCGTCTCAGACGGGATGCTCCACTCAGTGAGCCTGGGGCAAGGTGAGCACCTCCCGAGAGAGAGAGTATCTGATTGTCCCGAGCCTGGACAAGCGGGGACTGCGGAGGGGGCCCCGGGGTGCCCCCAGCCCCTCCTCCCGCGCACACTCTGGGGTTGGCGTGCCGACGGCCCCCACAATCAGCCTCTCACTTTGCTGGGTCCGAGATGAACACTGGGGAGGCCGGGACCCATCTACAAACCCGTCCCCTGCTCTTCCCCGGGAGCCAAGCGGCAGGTGGGACGCCGGCAAGGTGCAGAGCAGTACAGGGTGGCGGGCACAGCCGGGGGCCCGGTGCTGCGGCTCTGCTTCCTCAGCTGGCCTCGTGTCTGTCCCCTCCCCGTGCACCAGCACGGCCCCCTTCCCAGACCCCTGGCATCTCTCGTCTGGACGCGGTGCTGTGGAAAGGGTCACAGGTTAGGGGCAGGGTTAGCACCAGTGATTCAGAGTAGTTTACTTTTCCCCAGATTAGCAGATGCAAGCTTGTTGCTTTCAGTCTCACTGTCCTCCTGCGGTTGTGTTGACGGAAGAGGAGCGGTGCCATTTCAGGAGCAGTTTGGGGACTTGCACGTAACCCGTGCGTGGCTTCTCTTGCCTCCCTGAGAGCCCGTGGTCCAGAAATGCCCACAGGGGCGGGTCGTGCACGCGAACGCTGCCGGAATTAAAGCCAAAGCTAATATCCTGTGCTATAAAACGACCTCCAAAGAGGCGTTCTTGCCGTCAGTCTCGCCTCCTCCAGTCCCTTCTCCATCCTCTGGACAGAAAGATTGTTCTAGAACACAACTGAGCGTGTCCCCTACGGTTTCCTTTTCCCAAAGGACAAAGCCCAGGGTCCTTGGGAGGCTCCCCGGTGTGGCCTACAAGGCCCTGCGCGGCCGGTCCTGGTGCTCTCGACTCCAGGCACTGTGCGGTCACCTCCTGGCCACCTGGCGACGGCAGGGCCAGGACGGCAGAGTGCAGGTGACCGTTCCACCTGCCGCCTGCTCCTCTCTGCATTTCCAGCGCCAGACACAGACTTGTCTTGCAGAGTGGAGAAGGGAGTGCTGGCTTTTGTGGCCGTCCCTACGCTGATTTGGCTTTGTTTTTTCTCTCCCCCTTTCAGGAGAGCTGAAGCCCCAGGACAGGCGTGCAGGAAAATGCTTTTCTGATACTCAGGACCCTGCAGATCGAGGGGTCGGAACAGTGAACTCCGCACAGTTTGCGGGGAAACAGACCTGCGCTGGCAGGTTGGTGAACGCGGTTTTCTTTTCTTTCTTTTGAGACAGAGTCTCTCTCTGTTGCCCGGGCTGGAGTGCCGTGGCATCAGCCTCGCTCACAGCAACCTCAGACTCTTGGGCTCAAGCGATCCTCCTGCCTCAGCCTCCCGAGTAGCTGGGTCTACAGGCATGCGCCACCATGCCCGGCTAAAAAAAAAAATATATATATATATATATATATATATATTATTTTAGTTGGCCAATTAATTTATTTCTATTTTTAATAGAGAGAGGGTCTCGCTCTTGCTCAGGCTGGTCTCGAACTCCTGATCTCAAGCAATCCTCCCGCCTCGGCCTCCCAGAGTGCCAGGATTACAGGTGTGAGCCACCGCCCGGCCTTGACCTTGGTTTTCTGTTGCTGTCGTTGCAAAGAGATTCTCAGACCTCTCTTGACAGGCTGACTCAGGAGCAGGAGGGGGGCAGCCGCCAGTGATTAAAATTGGCAGAAGCTGGTGAAGGATGGCCTGTGTTTCAGTGAAGGAAACGACACACACCACACACACACACACAACACACACAGACACACACACCACACCCACACCCACCCCGGCCCACCCACCCCACCACCCCCGGCCCAGCCCGGTCGGGCTGTGGCCTTTTCCTTCCAAACCACGTCGATTGTGGGATCAGGTGTGAGGCACTTCCAGGGTCTGGCCAGGGGGCTTCTGCGGGGTGACTGTAAAGAGGGGCTCCCCTTCGATGCCGTGAGCCTTTTGGGGACAGGGGCAGCGTGCCAGGCGCTTCCTGATGAGGAGCCTCCCCCAACAGCCCGCGGGCCGCGTTGCACGGCCCCTGGTCACTGTCCCGTCCACCCACGGTGGCGGCGAACACACACATGGGTGCTTCCTCCAAACTCGAAGGCGTCCTGCCGGGAAAGATGACAGGCGAGGGGGCAGCGTGGAGATCTGGCACGTGGACAGCCCCGGCTCTCGGAGAGGAGAGCAGAGCAGATGAAAGAGAAGAAACCCTGGTATTATCACGGGAAACACTGGGCTGAAAAATGACGCGTGTGTGCACATTGAGGGGCTCTCTGTGCGCCAGGCACGGTAAGCGGAATGAGATCTGTATCTAGCTACAGTCTGGTGACGTTGGAAAAAATATTTATTGTGAAAAACTTCAGAGCTCTGCAGCCACAGAGAGTTAGCGCGGTGGCCCCCGCCCCGGGTGCCTGCCACCCAGATGCTCGCAGTCGTCAAAAATTAGGCCACGTTCACTTCATCTATTCCCTTTTCTTTTGTTCTTTCTTTTTCTTATTTCCCTTCATTTCCTCTCTCTCAACTTTTGCGGGGGGGTGTTAAAGCAGACCTCGGATTCATCCCTTCCCCCCGCGTGCCTAGTATATTGCACCTGTAAAGCCGTGGGCATCTGCTCACTCCGCCACGGCGCTGTTGTCGTACATACGAAATCGCCGAGCGTCTTTGGTATCTCCAATAACCGCCATAACGCGGTTTCCCTGAACGTTCACCAAACGCCTTTGCAGCTGGTTCGTCTCAGTCATGACCCGAAGAAAGTTTCGTACGTTGCGTTTGTTGGCGGTGGTGGTTTCAGCCTCCGTCCTCAAAGTTTTCGGCGCTCTTCCCTTCGGAAGACGGAGCCTAACTCCCCTCCCCTGGAACGCGGGCTGGACTTGGTGACTTATTTGTAGCAAAGAATAAGGCAGGAGTCACGGCGTGGGACTCCCGGGGCTGGGCCGTAGGAGATGTCGGGTCTTCGCCCGTGTGCTCTTGGAGCGCTATCCGTGGGGGACCCAGCTGTCACGGCAGGCAGAGGGTGGGAATGTGCGCAGCGGGGACGCCGAGGCCTCCCGCTGACAGCCAGCCTCAACTCACCAGCCACGGGGCCCCCTGGAAGAGCGTCCCGCGTCCCAGCCGGACCTCCAGGTGGACCCGCAGCCCCCACACACCTTGGCTGCAACCTCGCCCGGGGCCCAAGCCACCGTGACCCGGCCCATCCCCGGCCAAATTCTTGATCCACAGAACTGTGAGGTACTCAGTGTTTATTGTTGTTTTCAGCCACTGAACTTTTGGGTAGTTTATTATGCAGTGATAGATAACTGATGGAGTTGTTATTCTTTTTAAGTCTATTTTAATCCAGAGCACACCTCCTCTTTGTTTTTATTTATTTATTTATTTTTCATGCTGTAGAAACAGAGCCGGTTGTTTTACAGACTGTCCCACCATTTGGATTTGTCTAACTGCCCCGTAGTGTCATTTAACTGGCTCGTCTGTCCTCTGTGTTTCCTGCAATTGAAAATTAGCTCTATAATCTTAACTTGGGTTTAATATCTTTGGCCAGAATACTTCACAGGTGGTGTTTTGTACGTTCAGTTATGCACGCCAGGAGGTACCCCGTGTCTGGGTGTAACACGTATAGCGGTGGCAGCATCGATCAACGGGTTCGGGTAGTCTGGCAACATTTTTGAATTCTAAGGACAGAGGAGATAATTAGAAAAACCAGATTACCCTCCATGAGACGCGGTGGGAATCTAAGAATGTTACAACCAATGAAGCCGGTTTTCCTATTTGAATGAAGACAACAGAACGACCGATTGTGATACAGAAAAGATCAGAGATATACACCAGCCACATATACTTCTTGGAGAAAAATGCCTTGAGCGTGTATGTCATTCATTTGTTGATTCCACAAATATCTGAGAACCTCCCATGAGCCCGGGTGCTGTGCCAGGTAGGGGCTAGAGCTTGAACTGTCCGGAAGCAATGACATTAAGGACTGGAGCACAGAGAAGCCATTCGAGGAACAGAAGGCCACACGATGAGGCGTCAGAGCCATGGCCACCATCCACCTGCAGACCCTCGGGCCTGGCTGGTGTCCTAAGCCCACGCAGGTGGCCCCTTCCTGCAAGTGTCTGATGGGAGCTGGGATTGGGGGCCGGGAGCCCCCAGACTGTGGGCGGTGGAGGTCTGGGCTGCATCTGCAGCCTCTGGAGGGCCTCTGGAGGAGAAGGAAAGAGGGAAGTCGAGGCAGGAGGAAAGCGCAGGCCGAGGCACCAGGTGGGCGGTGGGAGGTGCGTGACCCATCGCTTGGAGGCGGGCAGGGCGGGGGCTCATACACTGGAGAGAGGGTGGCGTCTGCTGGGTGGGGGTGGGGACACAGCCTGCTGGTGGGTGGGCTTTCTGGCAGTGTCCCGCCCCGTTCCTGGGGCTGAACTAGGGAAGTGAAGGAATATTCGGGAGTCTGTGGAGCAGGCAGGCCCCAGCGATGACAGGGAGGTGGCACCCAACCGCCTCCACTTCTCCCAGTGTGTCTTCTGCGGGGGCTCTAGGGCCCACTGACCGTCGAGTCACCCCCGGGCAGGGCCGTCTTCCTCAGGGCCCCGGTGCCGGCCCAGCGTGGCCAGTGCAGGGGCCGGCTGGCGACCTCCCCTCCACGCCTTTCCTCCTCCTCACTGTAGCTAACTCTAGTGAACAGGCCCGGGAGGTCGCTGGCGGCCGACAGAAGGTTCCTGCTCCTCCCGGCCGGGGTGGGGCCCGCACCGTGGGGGCACCTGGCTCTCGACTGACCCTGGGGTCCCACCCTGGGGCTGACCCATCAGCCCGGGGGCCCAGAGGGGAGCGCACAGGTTGGCTGTGTGTGGGCCACTGGGCACCACCCTCGGCTGGGGCTACGGGGTGCTCGTCACATGATGCCCGGGCAGAGCCTCCCCCGTCCGCAGGAGAAGGGGCTGGAGAAGCTTTCGAGTCGCTGGAATCGTAGAACGAGGAAGAAGGAGCACCCATTTTGGAGATGATAGAAGATGCTTATTTCCTCTGAGTAAGTCTCCGGCCAGATCTAGAGCAAAACTGCCCGAACCCTGAACAGACAGTGTCTGTCTGTCTGTCTGCTTCCTCCCTGCGCTTGGGGGCGTGCTCTGCAGCCCTGTGGGCATCCGCTGCCTCCAGCTTCCCTCTGTCCCGCCCCGTCCCTCCTCCCTGTCTGTCGGTTGCTACGTTCAAGAAGCAGCATCACGGTAGCCACAACCCCGTGACTCCCGGGCTCCCACCCTAACCACGCTCTAAAGCCCCGGTCTGTTTGTTCCCTGCATGTGCTAAACCCTCAGCCTTGAGCTTTCTGGAATCACCTCCCACTTTCTAGACACTGTGTGAGCAGAGAACTGGGGCGAGCGTCAGTGTGACTGTGTTCCCGGCTGGCGGCGTGGCGTTGGGCTGGCGCCTGGCCCCCTGCTCCCCTCTGAGGCTCTCCTCTTACGCCGCCCCCTCCCTGCGCGGGCCGGGGTGCAGACCGCTTGGCCCTGTCTGGTGTCTTTTCCGGAGTGCCGGTGACTTGCTGTGTCCCTCCCCACCTTCAGGCCAGGGCTCGTCCAGTCCAGTCCTGACCGGAACAGCGTGGGCACGGGCTCCTGGTGCAGGTTCTTACTGAAGACAAGGGCGACTGATCCCCGCCTCCCCGAGAGCTTTCCAGCGCGGCCCCTCCGTCGGGCGGGAGAGATGGGCCACGCTGAGTCACGCCCTTGTTTCTCTGCCACTTGCGTGAAGGGCGGACCGGCCAGCGCCCGCCTGCCCCGCACAGACTGCCCCGGTCCCAGCGCGGGCCAGGCTAGGGTCGGGCAGCCTCTGGCCCTCAAAGGCCCTCGGGAGGGCCCGGCTCTGTCCACCCCCAGCGCCCACCTCCCGTCTCTTTTCTTCTCTCCGACACATGCGAGGCATTAAGCATCCCTTTCCCGCTCAGTTTTCCCACTCTTCTTTTTGTTTGTTTGTTTCGTTTTCTGCCTTTCAAGTTCTCTAATTGCTCCAGAAGCCAGACAGATGGGCTGGTGTCTTTAGCCAAGATGGAATTTAAAATTTGTCTCAAAGTAAATGGACGGCTCGGCTGTGCCAGTGACCTCCTCGTGGCCGCTTCGCCGTCACCAGAACTGTGTGTTTTTAATAAGCCGCCTGGGCCTGGCCCCGCTTCCCAGCAGAAGGCGCCTGGCGGCTCTGCCGGACCTGAGGGAGCACGCTGTTGGCCAGAAG